CTGCTGCAGGTGGCCTACTTCATGGACCCCTACACGCGCCCTCACCGAAAGCTGTTCATGCCGCTTGTCAAGATGTTCCTTCAATGGCTTCAAGTTTTGGAGACACATGGGTAGTTGTCAAAATTATGGTTCCTTTTGGGGAACCCTAAATATTCGGTGCCGTAATACATTTGGGATCCAAACAGGGACCAGAATTTTGACAACCATCCACATTGCAGATGGAAACCTCTCAGTTCTCTGGTTCTTCAAGTGCGCAAGCTTTCAAGTCAAGCTTCAGGCCGCGAAGCCCGAGCCAATTCGTTCTAAAGGCGAGACCCTTAGCCCTGAAGTTTAAGAGTGACAGCACACCTCCAAGCTCATGGCCACAAAGACATACTTGACCCCTGAAATATTCCTTCCAAGTGCAAGTGTACGAGTCGAAACTATCCTGAACCCGAGATCCAGGCAGTATTGCGACAGCATGGGCCTGGTAGCCAAGGAGGAATGGGTCTGCTAAGTAGCTCATGATGCGCCGTCTGTCACAGATTTGAGATTTGCGCAGAGCTTGGCTCCAAGGGCGGGGGGGGTTGGGGCTTTGGCCTTTTCCGGTTCGGCTTGAATCTGTGACAGCCTACGATGGGATTGATCCGGGCATTGCTCGCGTCAACACTTGAACTACCTTCGAAACTCACAAGGAAGATGAGCTGAAAAGATGCTTCGTCGTGTCGGAACCCTTTCCGGGTTTTTGGGGGTCCGAGCGTCAGAATACGGTTTCGGCGTGCAGTATGCAGGCTTTGTCGTGTTAGTCAGACACTATGTTTATGAGAATGAACGTCGTCTAACCAACGCATGCTACTGCTCGTATGTATGCATGTATCCATGTAACTATGCCTATGTGTACCTATGTATTTACGTATCTGTAATATGTGTATGTGCATGTGTATGCCTCTCTCTCTGTGTGTGTGTGTGTGTGCATATGTGTCTGTATAGTTGTTGAGGTAAACTTTGATGTTCAACTTTGTATCCGACACCTGATACCCTCAGTGTGCGGGGACCCCACTGCAACCGTTGTTCCGTAGCACAGACTAACCCAAATGCACGATTACATGATAAACATCTGGTGTTGGGGTTTTGGTGAGGACGAGATCGTGACCTGGGAGCCAGATTGGGACAACTTCCTGGAATACGACAGGGAATGGGTGGATGACCCAGGTGGTGTTGCTGTTACCCTCCGCGGCATTCTTAAGGACAACATGTTATGTCCCTTTGCCAAGTCAGTCTTGAAGAGCCTTGCTGCTACTTGTCGTGCCCTTGTAGTTTGTTATGCGTCGGCATCCCTGCATCGTCTGACGGGTGTCGCCGTCCGGTTCCGGATGGAGACACTGCAACTTAAGGAAGGCTGCCTGTGTTGCTTCGACGGCTCAAATGTTTTGAGCGGGATTTCAGGGTGTCTGCCCCCAGACCGTGCGATCTACAGATTCACTCGTCGCAAGGCCAGTATGTTCATACAGTGTTCTGAATTGTTGATGTTGGCTGTCACTGGCTCCGCCTCAAGCCCCAAAGCAAGGTGATGCGGCTCGTCACGGTGCGCCGGCCGTGACATCCGTAGGCGCTCTGCGCTTTCTATACGCAGGATCGGGAAGTGGGGGTTAGCATCTGTGGCGCAACTGAGACCAGCCTGCAGAGCAAGCACAAGTCACAAGTCGAGCTGACAGGAGATGGACAAAGACGATGACTGCTTGTTTGGGTCTTGAAGTGGGAGATGTTATTGTTGTTGCAGTAGGTCAGTAGGTGGTGGTGAACTAGCCGTGGAGGTCAAAGAAACGCCACGCGTGGAAAAGCTTCGTCAATGGCTTTGCACCTGCAGTACTGCTGTAACATGCTTGCCTTCATGCACCCTCCTGGGCTCCATGTCATTCGAGCCGGGTACCTCAAAGTGCCTCCAGTGCCTCCCCTCACGCCCTCCCTGCCAGATACCAAGTCGGCACAGTCTTTCCCTTTGGTGAAGCTCCCCGCGGCCTGAACCCGCAATGCTCAAATCCATCGCTGCGGGCTCAAACCCCAGTGCGCCATCCGAATCCCAAATCGCTGCCACCATGAAGTTTCATCAGATCATCGTGCTTTGCACATGGGCTTTGCCAGCCTGGGCTGGAATCCCCGTCCCCGAGCATGAGAAGCAGTGTGATGGCGCGAGCTGGGCATGCAGAATCGTCTGTAGCCAAGGCATGCTCGGTGGCAAAGGTCAGAAGGCAAACTGGTGCGTCGCAAAGCATTGCACGAGACAGAAAACTGTTGCCGCAGCCATGGTCACTGCCAGCCAGGAGTACTGTTCCAAAAAGACCTGTTTCATCCAGGAGACTGAGGCGATGGGTTTGCTGCAGTCCAGAAAGCCTCAGCAAGGCCGTCTTGTGGCCATGCAGGTGAATGCCACGACCGATTGCCTTGACGAGAAGGCAGTCTGTGGCAAATTCTGCGATGCACTGAACTCGCCGCGTGAGTTCTGCATGCCCAAGTGCACCGAGAACGCCCACGCCATTGCAGATGCCTTGGATGCATACTGCGATACCTGTGCTTCGCCATCGGACGACCCCACCACCACGGAGAAGGAGTACAAGACGACCACCGAGGAGCCCACCACCACGGAGAAGGAGTACAAGACGACCACGGAAGAGCCGACCACGACCACGGAGGAGCCGACCACGACCACGGAGGAGCCGACCACAACCACGGAGGAGCCGACCACAACCACGGAGGAGCCGACTACTACGGAGAAAGAGTACAAGACCACCACGAAGCCTACCGTAGATGACGACAAGGACGGCCGCCGTCGTCGCAAGGATGACAAGGACTGCCAGCCTTCCTTGCAACCCCGTTAGCACCATGACCATGGACAATCACTTCCTCGTAATTTGTGATAGCAGCTTTCTTGTCCTGATCCTCGTGACCATCGGCTCCTGCTAATCCACAACTGCAGTTCACCGTCCGTGTCTCCATGTGTGTGTGTGGGTGTGGGTGGGTGGGTGGGTGGGTGTGGGTGTGGGTGTGGGGCACCATGGACAACCGGAAGTGCGGAGCTCTCCAGAAATAAGCTTTACTTTTTGGCATCAGTCCATGGCACACTGCCTTGTATGCATGGTGTCGCGTGCCTCCAGCCCCCACAAACAATCTTAAAGCAAGCTGCAAGCACGCATTCCCTGTTTGGTGGGAGATCCTACGCCTACGCTCTTGGAAACTTGAACGGGGAGGATCTTGTGGAACCAGCTGCGACTTCAACATGTGCAGTGCTTCCTGAAGCTGTTCCTCAATTCAACTGAAACATCTCATCCAGGACGGCCGCCGTCGCCGCAAAAGCAAGGACGATGATGATGGCCGCAAGGACGACGACAAGGACGGTCGCCGTCGCCGCAAAAAGAAGGACGATGATGACGGCCGGAAGGACGACGACAAGGACGGCCGTCGCCGTCGCAAGGATGATGATGACCGTAAGGACGACGACAAGGACGGCCGTCGCCGCCGCAAGGATGATGATGGCAGCAAGGATGACGACAAGGACGGCCGCCGTCGCCGCCGAAAGGATGATGATGGCAGCAAGGATGACGACAAGGACGGCCGCCGTCGTCGCAAGGATGATGATGGCAGCAAGGATGACGACAAGGACGGCCGCCGTCGTCGCAAGGATGATGATGGCAGCAAGGACGACGACAAGGATGGCCGCCGCCGTCGCAAGGATGATGATGGCAGCAAGGACGACGACAAGGACGGCCGCCGTCGCCGTAAGGATGATGATGGCAGCAAGGATGACGACAAGGACGGCCGCCGTCGTCGCAAGGATGATGATGACGGCAAGGACGACGACAAGGACGGCCGCCGTCGCCGCCGAAAGGATGATGATGGCAACAAGGACGACGACAAGGACGGCCGTCGTCGCCGCAAGGATGACGATGGCAGAAAGGACGACGACAAGGACGGCCGCCGTCGGCGCCGAAAGGATGATGATGGCAGCAAGGATGACGACAAGGACGGCCGCCGTCGTCGCAAGGATGATGATGGCAGCAAGGACGACGACAAGGATGGCCGCCGCCGCCGCAAGGATGATGATGGCAGCAAGGACGACGACAAGGACGGCCGCCGTCGCCGCCGCAAGGATGATGACGGAAAGGGCATGTCAATGTGGCGCCGAATCCGTCACGACAAGGATGACTGAGCGATGAGTAGTTTGTAGAAGAGTTTGTCTGCCAAGGTAGGTGGGGATGCCATCAGCCACGACAAGGCTATCCTGACCTCCTCGCTACCGTATCGAACGGACTCAGAGCATCCATGTGAATCCATGTCAGCTATGTAGCTTAAACAATGGCATTGGCAACCTTGCTCTCCCCATGTCTCGCCGTCGAAGGATTTTAAGCGTCGTCATGGTCTTCAGATTCTTAAATTTTGTTCGCCACCCGTACCGTACATCAGCCGAGTGCTCGTCAAGCGGGGACCTGGTGGCTGCGCATTGTCCCAAGTCTTAGAAAAGCAACGAAGCCGGAGAGAGACAGAGAGAGAGAGAGAGGCAGAACAAACACGGTTTTGGAGGGACTTGGGAAATGCGAAGTAGAAGCGTGTTTTGCTGCAAGATTCCTGGTGCGCGTGGCAGCAAAGTTGCCCCTGCACTGGAACTACTTTTGGCCGGATGCAGTAAAAGATTTGGCGATGATGTCTACTTGTCCAGGCATGAATTGGATGCTGTTGAGCTCATTGATGCTGACATCATCCACGTCCTCCAGAATCTGGCGTAGACCCAGTTGTGAGGTGGAGGTCCAAACCCGGTGTTTTACTGCGGGAAGATGTTCCCGTGCAGTACATCAGAATAGGTACCAAGAATGTCCTGCAGGTATCATCGGTTATCATCGGAAGTTTTCCGTGCTTGGAACCATGATTGAAACCCTACATCCCGAAACCCGTAGTATGTCCCCAAAGCCCTATAGACCCTAAGACCAAAGATCCCTAGACGCGAGACCCTGAAGTCCTTCAGAGTCGAGGCAGACCAGCACAACAGCTTGCGGGCCGTTGAAGGCGACCTCCGCTTGGAGGCCGGGTCTTTTTTGGAGTTGAGTTGGGGATCCAATTAGGGTTTAGGGTTTACGGATATCTTGTCCAAGACTTGAGTCCAGTGGCAACAGGGGGTATCTTGTCCGACATCCAGGCGAGCATATACAAGTCTAGGCAAGAAGGGGCATCTTTGTGACTTTCCCCGTTTTGTTCGTTGCTGATGTCCATGTTGCGACAGCCATGCACACACTCCTTACGGACGACAGGGCCTGGAACGGGACCTGCTGTTCACCGAACAGCCAAGCGCATCGAAGTTGAGTTCAACAAGCCCCCACCCCCGAGACTCAGACCCCGACAACCTCGCAGCCATATGCGCTCGTGCTTGAGCAATCAGCTGAGCCCAATGCTAAAGAACACTCGCATGAAGCACTTTAACTTTAGCTACCTGCTCTCCTCTGTTTTGTCCCCAGAGTGCCGCGCGGGATCCCAGCACGCCAGGAGTTGGAGCTGCAAGGAGCGCGGTTACCTAAGCTGGAGGCCGATGTGGAGCGCAAGGGGCTGAGCTGTAAAGCTAGCTGGGAGTTTCCGAAAATACGGGGGTACCTTATTTTGGGGTCCTTGTAATCAGGATCCTACTATTTAGGGTGCTATATTAGCGTCCCTATTTTCGGAAACTCCCAGATGGACGGATTTCGGGTTTGGGGTTGATGATGTCGGGTCCTGGGACACAGGGCTTTTGGGATTGAGGTTTTGCTTGAGTCAGGGTCGGCTATACTTTCATGCTCCATATTGACGGGAAGTCGCTAGGCCTGTGGCCTTCTGCGAAGCCCTAAACCCTAAATCTGCAGACCTTGCCAGGCTTGTCCGAGTGTGAGTGTCAAAAAACCGCCGCAAAACTTTTCGGTTCCAGCGGTTTCTTTCCACTCCGACTGCTATGCGTTACACTGCACGTGTACAGCAAACCAGATCCTACTCTAAGCCGGATCACGCTTGAAACCTTTTTCCCCTGTCAGAGCCAATAATTGTGTTTTACTGCTATGGTTGCTATTACTACTATTACTAGTGCTATTACTATTATGGAAACTTCAGTAGGGTTAGTTACAGCCAGCACCCTGACTACCTTTTCTGGTGTTCTGTTCACCTCCGAGGCCGGCGCTCCACCCGTGAACAGCTTGGGCATCAGTGTTTACAGGTTCCGAGCCGAGGGTTTGGGGGCTGAAGGGGTTAGGGGTGCAGGAATTCAGGCTTTTTCTTTCGGAGGGTTCCCCTATCAAAACCACATAGTAGGGAAAAATGCACCCATATTATGCTATTGGAGAACCGAGGAGTGTCAAGTACGGTAGGAATCGCCCGAGAAAGCAGAAAGAAGGGCCAGAATGGCAAGACAGTGACGACGCCCCAGTAGAGTCAGCAGAGTAAGTTGAGGTGATCATTGGTTTGGGGTCACGGATGTTCGGGTTTCAGGTGATACAGGCGAGCACTAATCAAGCCTGTGGAAAAAGGTGTTATGGATCAGCAAGAGAATTGCCTGAGGTCCCAGCTATGAGGTGCCTGCCCACTCATTCCACACCGCAAAGTAGACCAGCCTCTCCTGCACGTATTGCTAGGCTACTTGGAAGACGTGGCAAACGGGATCTTGCAGCAAGGCGCAAAGCAGCACGAAGCGCCGGGAGGCCAAAGCTTCGCTTGCGCCAGGTCCGCGCCGCGCAAGAGACGGAGCTTCGAATCATCCGCGAGGTGGCGGGTGGCGGGAGTATAGGGAAATCACGGGCAGGTTCGGATCGCTAGTAGTTAGCGTCTAGAGTCTAGAGTTCAATCTCTCCGAGCTGTGGTATTAGCCGCCGTTGTCTGTCGATTGTTGGAATCTCCGCTCAAGGAAAGACATCCCATCACGGCGGGCATTTCTCGAAACCTTGCTATAGAATGGTCACTCAATCTAGACAACCTTGTGCAGGCATTGCTTTTGAGCTGTCAGTGCTTCTTGTTCCTTGGATGTGCCGTGGTGGGCAGCTAGTCGGGTGTCTTTGCTACGACCCACATCTGTCTGTCGCGTGCAACCGCCTGAGCCTGAGCTCTCTTCGACCCTGCGCTGTCCAAGCAGCAACCGGTTCATCATTCGCCAGACGCATAGTCAAAGGGATACTGATAGCCATATTAGCCGCGAATCATGGATAGCCTCGGAAACTGCTGGAAGAAAGATAAGTAAGCAGCCATAACGTTGCATTGAAGCTTTTTGCGCAAGTGGAGCGTGGCCAGATCGCCAAGGCCACGGAGGGTAGTCTTTTCCGCAGGTGCAAAAACCAACTAGGTACCAGTGTGACTAGACTTGGCGGCCCAAGCCCAAGGGGCCACGGAGGTAGTGTAAAATATCTGTCTAGATATGTGGAAACAGGCATATGCAAAAATCGTCACCGTCACAGTAGTTGTTGAATGCTAGGAAAAATTCTGGTCACATGTTGCAGCGATCGCCACTACCACGAAAATCCCTAGCAGGATGCAATCCGCCAGAGGGAGATGCACCGTGAATAAAACTTGAAACGGGAACAAGGTCTTCCACTTGTCGTGCCTGCCGACCTAATATCCCTAAACCCTCAACCCCTAAACCCTAAACCGTGGGTTAGTGTGTGAGTCGAAACCGTGGGTTAATGTACCACTAACCTCAGACCTCATCTGGTGAGGTCGGAGGTCTCAGCGCGAAGGAAACCCTGAAGCCCTAAAGAGGTGGAAAACCCGAGTGCCAAAATCCCCGAGACCAGTTGTTGTGAGCTTGCGTGCCTTGTGCATGCACCGTGGGCGGACCTTGGCCCAAAACCTTACACTTCCAAGACGAAGCCCCGAAAGGGCTAAATGGGAGTTTCCGAAAATTTGGGGTACCTTAATTGTGGGGTCGAAAATAAGGGTCCTACTATTTAGGGTATTATATCAGGGTCCCCTATTTTCGGAAGCTCCCAAATGCCGGAGACCCGATAGTCGAAACCCTTCCATCCACGGCCACAGGAGCTGAGGGCAGCACAGGTGGCCCGGGCCGAGGTACGTATGCCTACAGTTTAGGGTCTAGGGTTTCGGGTTTAGGGCTCGGGCTCCAACTCTGGGCGAAGTGGAAAGTCTGTTGCAAAAAGGGCTCGGGCTCAGGGTTTCTGGAGAAGGTGAAGCTGGTGGATGGATAAGAACAGAACCGAGTCTTGAAGGAGTTCGAAGGAAGGATGTTGGTACTCTCGTTGAGACTCCTGATGGGCTGTAGAGTCGGGTTGTTCGGAAGCTTGGAGATTTTCGCAAGAAACGCTTGTGCGCCGAGGGCCAGTCCTTCCGGGGATCATACGTCAGAATCCACGAATTAAACTATCATCACGACGATGTCGAGGAGGAGGGCTGTTCCCATTCTTACAGGCATTCTTGTTGTCCTAAGCCCCTGATGATCCAGGAACCCAGGCTTTTGCTTTCCTTTGGGATCAGCTCGGCCGTGTGCTGCAGTGTCTTACCGTGACAGTTTCAGCCTTTGCGTGTGCAGGAGCTTCTCTCAGCTGCCGGCACCACCCTGGGTAAAGTCGCTGCCGGGGCCCAACAGGAAGGTACAAGCAGCGATTAGTTCGTGCTCAATTTTGACACCTAAACCAAGAGCCCTTTCATTCCACACAACGTTTGATGCCAAGTCGGCGAAGGCAGCATCTCCAGTACCTGCCGTGGGAATCGGAGGCTGAGTTGTCGGGAAGGGGGGTGCTATGAGGGTTGGCATCGCAGTCCACGAAGACCGCCTCGAGACGAAGCCTTGAACAAATGACTTCTCCTTGCTTGATTTCTGGTTTCGTTCATTGGGAGTGATGCGCGCATCGATCCATTGTTGTATTCTATGGCTGTTGAAGATATTCATGACCAGAGTAGAGTGTCGCAGACTCGTTAGCACGTATTCTCAATACCTTGTTCAAAGACTGCCAGGCGCCGGCTATCCTGGCAAGCAGGAGGAGGCTGACCGAAGCCTACTGCATGTGGAGTTCGCTTTAAATAGGAGTTCGCTTTTGGTTCAGGGGCAGCTTGGATACAACAAAGGTTTAGGTAGGGTTTGTCAAGCCTCAAACCCTCAAACTATACGACCATGGTATCGCGGGTATAGGGCACAAACATGACTTCTTAGTAACCCAGGTCGGGAAGCAGTAAGGCATAGCCACCCAAGGCGCCTTCTCTACATGCTGCTCTTGTGGTTTTGTAGTCTTTGCGGTTCCGACTTACCGTGACGAATGCTATTGCCGTGGGGTTATTGCACTACAGTGCGCCCCTCGGACAAGCTTCCTTGTGCTCAGCACCATTGCATTGCAGCATGCCGCCACGAGCACAAAACACCACTCACTCTACATTGCCAATAATTTGCGCACACATACATACCCCAGAACCCTGCTCTTTATTTGTCAAGGCCCCTGTGTTAAATGTGTGGTCGCGGCCACTTGGGCTCAACTGGGCATAGCCCAGAAGGGCTTCAGTGCACAGGGGGCCGCTTGCCCCAAGAGGCTTGGCATCTGACAAAAAGCGGTGCATAGAGGTTTTGAGGTTTTAGCTTGGGAGGTAGACCCTAGCAGATTGCCCAATTCTTTGCTCAAGGGGCTTGGCAAGTACAAAGAGCACAAATGAACGTGTATGTGTGTCGACGTGGCCGGTTTCCGCACAGGCACAGGAGCCACAAGGCCTATGGTCTTTCCTGATTGCAGATTGCAGGAAAGTTTGTGATATTCTCTGTGCTACACTGCAGTGGCCATCGTGTTTCATGTGTGCACGAATGACACGAGGCTGATGGCGGAGCTGGTCGTGTATGGCCGTGAAACCTGCGGCCTCTGCTCCAAATTCAAGAAGGACGCTTTATCTATAGGGTTTGGGGTTCAAGGTTCAGGGTTTCATTTTTTATAGGCAGATTGTGCGTACTTAGCCTCCGCATCTCGCCACGAGTGCGATGTGCTTGGGGATTCTGGCCGGGCGAGCACTAATCACTGTGGAAAAAGGGTTTATAGGCATTTCTGTTTTCACAGGCGTTGATTCTCACACGGCTTCCAGGTTCGACACGCTCCTCCGTGATTCAGTTACTTCAGCAGGTTAGGGTTACTGCCACGAGCGCAGCAGCTCTGACATCCGACATACAGGCGGGCATTTACAAGTCTGTGTAAAAGGGTTTATAGGCAAATTACCAGGCGTCCTTGCATGCAAGCCTGCAGCAAAAGGTGTATAGTGCCGACACACCAAAGGATTTATAGTGCTCTGGGGTTCAGGCTGTCAGGGTTCTGGCACCTGCTGCTAGATTGAGATGCCTGTGAGCTTAGCTGCATGGCTGGGCAGGAAGCATAGACCAAATGCCGGTTGTAGTATCAGTCAAGGATCCAATCATTTCCGAAGTACTATGACTATAGTAGCTTAATCTTGTTAATTACCTACACTATGTTGGGGCTTCCTCATGATTATTGTATAATGGCCCCAAAACTCCAAAACCTTATTCTACCCATTAAGTCCCACTATTGTGGTACCCTTATAGACCCGTTTAAAGGAAGCCTATGTTGATGATCAAGGCGCCTATACAAAATCCTTATAGTAGCACTTATAGTAACCCTTATAGACCCGTTTAAGCGAACCCTACTCTAATGATTCAGGCCCCTGTAGTACCCTTATAGATCCCTTATAGACCCCCTTAAAGGAACCCTATACTAATGAGGCCCATATATTATAGTACCCTTATAGATTCCTGATAGAACTGTTAAAAGCAACCCTATTCTAATGATCAAAGCCCGTATGTTAAACCCCCATAATACCCCTTATAGGAACCTTTTTAGGACGCGCTTGAAGGAACCCTATCCTAATGATTAAGGCTCCTATATTGTTTCCTTGCCCACGGAAGCAGGGCAGAAGGATGGAGGCGCAGCTGCGATGAAGCAAAGTATTGAGCTTCACATCTTCGATGTTTAGGTTTAGGATGCCTTCCAGGGGTCCATCAGGGTTACTATAAGGGTACTATAGGGTTTAGGATTCCTTCGGGGTCCACCAGGGTTACTATAAGGGTACTATAGGGTTTAGGATTCCTGTCAGGGGTCCATCAGGGATACTTTAAGGGATATTATGGGGTTTAGGGTTTTAGGGGATGAAGCAAAGTACTGACTGAGCTTCATCTGTCAAGGAGTGCGATGCGAAAGACCTGAAGTACAGATGGAGCGACATCACTGTGAATGAAAACAAGGTGCCTCGAAGTTGAGGAGTGTGCATGAACGGCAATCGATTCGATGTTAACCCTCAGTTAGTAAAGGGAATCGTCAGCCAGCCATCAGAAATGCAGGAAATAATTCAAGTAGAAAAAAGTAGGAATCATGGATACGAAAAAATAGGAACGAAATTACACAATAGGAAAAAGTAGGAAACAAATAGGACAGCAAATAAAAGCAAAACACGGGCATGAGCAGCAGCATCCATAGAACAATCACAACAGCAGCAATACCACGATAACTCGCATAATTAAGCCAGCTACCCCCTACCCCAAAACGGAGGCTAGAGGTGGGATTCCCAGCGGGGTGGGGGGGGAGGGCTTGGAGAAGGGGGCCTCAGCGGCCTCCTACTTTTGTCCTATTTTTGTTCCTATTGTTTCCTATGCTCAGGAAAATGTGATTTCTTGCTTTTTCCTTGGAGGGATACGAAAAATAGGAAAAAACAGGAAACATCTAGGAAAAAAAGAATATGGTTTCTGCCAGTCTGCCACCCCCCCACCCCGGACCACCCCCCCCCCCCAACTGCGGCTCTGGAGTGCCGGGACGCAGGCAGGAACGGGGGAGGGGAGTAGGAGGCGGCGTGCTGAAAGCTCCTTCTCGCTCCCCCCTCCTCCTCCGGCACCTGTCAATCATAATCCAAGCACGCTAACCTCCTATGCCGAATTTTCAAACTATTTACATTCTAATTTTTTCCTAAATTGTATCGTATTCGGAAATCTGACCCTATCCGAAATCCCATTCCAATTCCTATTTTTTCCTAAAGTAATTCGTCTGAACTCCTCGATGTTGGCCAAGAGCTTTTTACTACCCTCAGTGCTGCAAACTAGCTAAGCCGCAGATCTAAACCAGAAACCCACATGCCTCGCCTGGATTGTCCGAGTGTGAGCGCCGAAAACCCCGAACCTCGACCTCAGGAAGCCGTGCCTGCCTGTTTGCGCGCATGCGAGTCGAAAACCCCGAACCTGAGCCCTAAACCCAGCCTAAATCCTAAAAGACATGTAATTTGTCAAAGTGCCTTCGACGTACCTGATGGACCTCGCCTGGTAGGTCGGAGAGTGAGTGCTGAAAAGACATTTCCCCCCGGATTGCCCAAGCTCCACCAGACTCGTGGATCCTTGCCTGCCCTGTGCGAGCCTTGAGAGTCGCTACTCAAAGCTAATCGAAACGCCAGTGTTGTATAGCATAATACAATATTTTATGTTATGCTATATACATATACTATAGTATATACTGTATTCTGCCTATGTTTTTCTATATAAAAATCAAAGAATATAATATTTTTCTATATAGTGTTCTACCGTAATTCGTATCATATGAAACTTTCTGAGAGGTGGAGATGTCCCGGAAGCTTCGAGCTTGCTCGTGGTTCAAAGGCACCGGCCGTTCAGGGCCGAATGCCTGGGCTTCGGGGTTGAGGGTTCAGGGTTGTAGGGGTGAGGGTTTAGGGTTGCAGGGTTGAGGGTTAAGGTATTAGGAGTTGAGAGTTTGCAGTATGCGCTGCGATCACTCTTATGGGCCTTTTCTTGAAACGAATACTTGTTCCAGACAATAGCAGACCTCGAACCACATGCCTCGCCTGGACTGTCCGAGAGTGAGCGCTGAAACCCCAAACCCCTTGCCAAGTAGGAGGGAAAAAAACCCTAAGCTGCAACAGTCTTCTTTCGTCGTCTTATCTGATCTGGCCTGGCTGTGTCTGCTCCGAGTGTGACCGTCAAGAGTGCCCTAAACTTAGGCCCTACACTATACTACACTATACTATACTGTACAGGAGGTTCATGGGTAATTATAAGTGGGGTTATATCTAGGACAACTATAGTTATAACCCATATTCTGGGACTTATAACCGCACTTACAACTACCCATGAACGTCCAAGTATTATGCTAAATCCTTATGCTATGAAGCCCATTAGTAACCCTTATAGTCCCGTTTAAAGGAACCCTATTGAAATTGTTAAGCCATGAATGTGCAGGTGGCACCTTTGGGCTTCCGCTGGTCGACGTTTACGGGGATATGCAGCAAAGGCCGGTGAGACATGCATCCTGTGGTGAGTTTTTCCAGGGTGAGGGTTTAGGGCGTTTAGGGTCTAGTAAGACTAAAACTGACTGCTTGCATAGGACGTAGAGTAGTGCTACAATCATGTAGAGTTGTGACAGCTGTGCCAGCAAACAGCTCGTAGAAGTATGAAGTAACTGACCCAGGCCAACTGTCGACGTTGTCTTGGCGGCCAAGAAAGCATTGCCAAGCGATTCCGAAGTGGACAAGATCAAGCAGCTTGGCCCGACGTGAACGGTGTCGCACGCATTGGAAAGCTAGTTTAGCTCCGCCTGCACCCATGAGGTCGTTGTCCAATAGTAGTTGTTTGTAGCCTGAGGTCGTTTCGCAATTAAATGACCCGACTCCCCATCTTGGTGATCGAGCGACGATGCGAACCGGTGTCGAAAGCCGTGGTGTTTGCCAAGGAAGCAGTTCAAGGAGCTTGATGTGAACAAGGACGGCACTCTCAGCTTCGAGGCCGGGTGAACGACCCAGAACGTGGCGTTCAGCGAGTTGTTTCAGCAAGCACCCCTGCTGACCTCAGATGTTACACACTCATGCCGAAGCCGACGAGATGTGCTTGACTTGTGAGGGCGGGGCCCCTGCTTGTACGACTTCCTTTGAGCAGTGGACTTTCTTTCTGCACTCTTGATTTTGAAACTTGGCCAACTGCGGCAACCATGCGCATGAGACGTACGGGTACACAGCATACAGTGCATCCCCAAGACCGCCCGGCTGTGCGGGTTCTTGGAACATCAGCCCTGTCAGCCCCAAGCTGGAGGAGATGAAGAAGATGATGGTGACGCTGAGCCCAAAGCTCTCTGAGGTTCAACTACAGTCGCTCGGCCCGATGGACCGGAGCTTTCAAGGGACATGAGGGTTGTCTATATCACCAGGTCCTTCTTTGGTCTAAGTGGTATGTGGGTGGCACCAGGCTTAGAGAGAAGCATGTGGGCATGAGTGGGGCAGTTTCAGAAGGGCTCTATAAGGCTTCTAGGGCTTTGCACTCGGAAGGATGCGAGTCGAAGTCGGTCTCGTCTCAGCTTTGGGATCCTTATCCGCCTTATCCCTTCAAGCGGGGCTGAGGAAGCTCTTCTGCGCGGCGGATGTAGACCAGAGTGGCACGGTGGAACTGGATGAGTTCATCGACTTTGTCCTCAAAGGAAAGCAAGTCGTGGCAAAGATCGTCCAGGAGGGACCTTGCTTAATGTAGGGGGCCTAATTCTAATTATGAAGGCCCCAGTATTATTCCCTGCGAGTCTTGCTCATCCCTCCGTTCCAAGATGCTGAAAATCGGAAGGAAGGCCGGACTTCGCCTACCCGAAGCCCCCTTCCCCCAAGGACATAATTCGAATAGGGCTTTGGGGCCCAACATACTATAACTATAACAAGAAATCCCCACCTTGGTATTGGTAATGCCAAGTCGCCCGGAACTGCGCTTTGAGGCTTTGGGCAAAGCAATATCGAGCAGCATGCGCACATGGCCAAGAAGAAAGAGCCGAATGATGGCAGCCTGTGAAATTCCATCTAAATCCCAAGGAGAAAGCCTGGATTTAAGCAATTTGCACAGGAGCCGCCACAAGGCAAGCCTTCGGCAGAGGGTGTCCGCGGGGACTGGAAGAAGGATGTTCTAGACGCCTGTCTGAACTGGTAGGCACGACTGCCAGGAACGTGCTCTTCCTGCTCTCCCTCTGTTCTCCGAGCTTTGTAGATGTTGGTCCCCTAGACATTCAGCTCTCAAGCCCTTGTGCCTTCGTCTTCCTGTCACTTCTCCATTTTCCATCATGGCGAGCAGTGGCTACCCTGGAGTTCGTACCACCAAGACCGGCGACGTCGCTCCCAGCGACGCTTTGAAGCTCCTGAAGGAAGGCAACGCTCGCTTCGTGGAGGGCAAGCCGCAGTCTATCAAGACCAACGCCGAAATGAGGACGCTGCTGGTGGAGGAGGGCCAGGCTCCTCACACCGCCATCATCGGCTGCGCCGACAGCCGCGCCCCATTGGAGAAGATCTTCGACGCGATGCCCGGGGACATCTTCGTTTTGCGAAATGCCGGGAACACCTGCACCCATGCCGAAGGAAGCTTCGTCGGAAGCCTGGAGTTCGCCACGGGAGCACTCGGATCTCGCCTGATTCTCGTGTTGGGACACACCAAGTGCGGTGCCATCTACGGCGCCACGAAGGGCTACTTCGCCAAGCTCGGGGCAGGCAGTTCTTCGGGCTCCGCCTTGGAAGCCCTGCTGCACGACCTGGGCTCTGTGGCTGAGGTGGCTGCTGGTGAGAAGGGTGCCTCTGCGGACTTCGAGACCGTGGCATCCCACGCCGTGAAGGTGAACGTCTTCCACACCATCAACTTCCTGCTGAAGTACAGCAAGAGCCTCCGCCAGCAGGTTCAAAGTGGCAAGTTGGAGATCCAGGGCGGTATCTATCAGCTGGAGACGGGCAAGGTCGAGTTCCTTGGGCCATCGCCGGAGCAGAAGGCGCTGACGGAGGAGAGCGTTACTTCCGTGCCGCCTTCGCTGCTCGCTCCCAAGGAGCCAAGCCCGGCCACGGTTCGCACCGCTGCCGACGATGCGGTGCTCCCGCAGAAGGCCTTGGAATACCTCAAGAGCGGCAACAAGCGCTACGTGGCAGGCACGCCCAAGGCCCCAACTACCACTCAGGACATGAGGAAGGCCTTGGTGGACAAGGGCCAAGCTCCACATGCCGCCATCATTGGCTGTGCTGACTCGCGAGCTCCGGTGGAGACGCTCTTTGACGCAGCCCCTGGCGACCTCTTCGTCTTGCGAAATGCCGGCAACACATGCACCCATGCCGAAGGAAGCTTCTTGGGCAGCTTGGAGTTTTGCGTTGGCAAGCTGGGTAGCCGCCTCATTGTGGTCATGGGCCACACCAACTGCGGAGCATTGGCCGGAGCCGCCGGCACGTACCTGGCCATCAAGGAGGCTGCGGAGACCAAGACGCCGGGTTGCGCTCTTGAGGGTCTCCTGCAGGGCCTGACTTCCGTGGCAGGACAGACAGCCCAGGAGATGGGTGGTACACCGAGCGCTGGCGAGATCGCCAGCGCGGCGGTGAAGGTGAACGTCTTCAACACTATCAACTTCCTCTTGAAGTTCAGCGAGCCCATTCGAGCTTTGGCCAAGAGCGGAGACTTGGAAATCCACGGTGCGGTCTACAAGCTGGAGACAGGTGAAGTCGACTTCTTCGGGCCCTCGCCGAAGCAGGCAGAGCTCCTGGCATCGAAGATGCAGCTCCCTCCCTCCATGAGCAACGCTGCCGACTCCTTGGCTCTCATTGGTGCCCATGGCGTCCGAACTCCCGAAGACCCGCCGATGGCGGCGCAGGCAGCCCTGAAGCTCTTGAAGGAAGGCAACGAGCGCTTCGCAGTGGGCGCTCCCATTGCTGGCAGGATCGATGCGAAGATGCGGAAAGCCTTGGCGACTGTGGGCCAGGCGCCTCACACGGCTATCCTCGGGTGTGCAGATTCTCGGGTGCCGCTTGAGTTGGTCTTCGATGGTCTGCCTGGAGATCTCTTCGTGCTCCGCAACGCCGGCAACACCTGCGTTCACTCCGAGGGCAGCGTGATGGGCTCCCTTGAGTTTTGCACCGGCGCTCTCGGCACGAAGCTCATTCTCGTCTTGGGCCACACCAAGTGCGGTGCCATCAACGGTGCTACGAAGGACTACATGGCGAACAAGGGCAAGTCCAGGGACCAGGCCCCCAACGCCCTCGGTGCACTCCTTCAAGGACTCAACGACGTGGCCAAAAAGGCAGAAGAGGAGTTGGGTGGCTCCCCTAAGGAGGAGGAGATCGCAGTGCATGCTGTGAAAGTCAATGTCTTCAACTCCATGGACTTCCTTGTGAAGAACAGCCCCGTCCTGAAGAGCAAGGTCGAGTCCGGTGAGGTCGAGATCGAAGGAGGCATCTATGATCTGGACAGCGGCCGCGTTCGATGGCTGGGAAAGAGCCCCAATGCGTCAAAGGCGTAGTTCGGCAAAAAAATCTAAAGGTCTGCGAGAGCCCAGCTTTATGGGCTTGAGAGCAGTTCCTTCACTTTTAAAGCGCTGGGAGTTCTATGCGAGACTTCTCTCTGTGTGCTCCTTCGGAAAGCACGGGAGTTGTCTAGCTCACCACAATGCCTCGAGGCATTTGCAATGTAATATACTTTCACCTGTGGTCTTGGGCACGGCCATCTTGTTTTAACTACTCTTATTGCTTTTTAGTAGCGACTTCCTCTGACGCAATGATTAACTCGACAAGGCCTGTGTTACCACACCTTTCTTCCAGTGCCGGCTATCTCCTTCAGCCGGGGCATAGCCAAACACAGAGCACAAGCATCTGACATTTCGCACTCTCGGACGCCGATGCGACGTCCTCTCTCAGGCCATTGGCCCCTTTTGCCGATTGAGGTGCCTTTCAATTTAAGCCCTCATACACCTCCAGACTCGCCAAACGTATGTAAAAAAAGCACCGGGAGCTGCCTTGCCTGTTTTTTGCTGAGTGTGAGAGTCGAAACACGTCGAAACCTTCCACCCCACAACCCGGCCCCTCCCCTCGAAAAAAAAAACAGGGGGCCCGGCTCCTCAAGTTTTTTCCTGAAAGTCCGAGGCCGCCCATAACGCCTTCCGTGCCGAGCACGGCTCTCCTCCCCTCACCTGGAGTGATGAGTGGCTCGGAGCAGAGGATCCTGCAAGGGCCCAGTATCTTAGGGATACTTACACGGGTCTAAGGTATAGGCTATAGGTAATATGTTATAGTGGATAGTGAGTCAGGGCTTAGGACCTTACGTAATTGAATCCAGTAGCAAGCGGTTTCGTAAGGTCGCGGATTCCTGAGACCAGTACTAGAATCATGAAGGCGACAGCAGCATCAAGGAGGCCAGCAGCGGATCTATGTACTTAATCTATCTACAGTAGAAGCCGAAAAGTTGGAAACACAATATCCCCAATCCTTAAGAGTATATATTGTATAGGGAATCCCAGCACTATTTGGCCTTAATCCGGTGTCCAACTTTACCGGGTTTAGTGTATACCTGTCTGTTTACCTACATACATCTATGCGTGTACACAACAAACATTCATGAGGTGGTACTCGTCGAAAGTAGGTCGGGAGGCAGGTAGGTCGGTCGGGTGGGCAGTTGGTAGGAGGTAGGTAATTAGTGCAGTCGTAGTACTAGTAATTGTTTATCCAAGTTAGAGTAGTACAAATACATGGTGCCGCAATTAAGAGCCGTTTTTTGGACGCAGATCTTGCAAATCTTGTAAGCGTGATCAGTTGCACCACTTGGGGTGGGGTGATGGGGGCGGTAATCTTAGTCACCAAGATTACCAAGATTGCCAGTACCCTCCCCCTCGTCGAAGTGCTGCAAGCGGTCAAGAGCTGCTTGGCTCTCCTTTGCAGGCACGTAGTATCAGTACCACTAGTCTTAGTCATAGTAGTAGCTAATTAACGCTGGAAAAAGGTGCTGGGAGCAGCAGGAGTAGTAGAAGTGAGCTTCTCAGGGATCCGGCACGTGGGGCCAAAAAAGAGAGTCCGCAGTTGAAAGAGAGGTGCTACCTCCTGGCCAAGAAGCAGGCCAACGCGTGCCAGGAAAGGAGTTGCATGTTCCATGCTCCTCGGCGACATGAGTGCCTGAACGTCCTCGCCCTTGCCCCCGGAATGGCAAATTTCGGCTCCTAGGCCTATGTACATCCTATGTATCACAAACAAGCGCCTCATCTGGTGTCATGCGACAGCCCTAATGTGGATGTCTGACTTTGAAATCGCGTACCACTGGTTGTACGAACGATGCGCAAGTCCGGTCTTTTGAAGTAAGTCCGGTCTTTCGTTTTGGTTTGGACTAGTTTGGACCTGTAACTGTAGCAGTCCAACATCCTAGCAGTGGTTGTGTTTGGAAATATTTTTTCTGCCGTGCGTGGCAGCGAACATAAGAGGATTGCTAGCGCCAACTGGCCACATCTACCGCATCAGACGCTGCTCGAACTGATTTGACCGATTTGCACATATCGCTTGGACCAAGGATTGCCTAGCAGGGCCTTCTGGCCGGCATGGTCAGAACATCTTCTGGCGACTGGGCGATCGGTCTTAGTCTGGGGAAGCTTGTTCAGGGCCTCTTGGACTTAGCATGATGGCAACCACTCGCGCGATAAGTCGTCGCGTCGTGTTTTGGTTTCGGCTACGGTGTTGTTCTATTGTGCACGTAGACTTGTGCCCACAGGATATGACGAGCTGGAGCATATGAATATGGGTTCGAACTCATGGTTCAGAATTTCGTGAGCCGACTGGTTCGCTGTCGAATCCGGCAATCTGCTGCGCCGGACCGGATAACGGAGGATAAATGATCAGCCCATGCACGTCGAGTAAGAGAGATGCATGTATCAAGGATCCCTGAAATCCTGAAGCCGAAACTCGACACACTGCCCGTCCGATGGAAGCGACCCGACACAGAGCAAATAGATGTGGGAGTTTCCGACAATTAGGGGTACCTTAATCTGGGGTCCTTAATAAGGATCCTATTATTTAGGGTACTATACTAGGGTCCCTTATTTTCGGAAACTCCCAATCTTGGTCCCGGAACTCGCCTGCAGCTGTGCGACAGCAAGGGGTCCCGACCCCTGACTGTTCACTTCATAGGGGAGTTTCTGGAGTCCTTACAATAAGGATCCGACTGTTTGGAGCACTATAATTATTGGGGTCCCCGATTGTCGGAAACTCCCACAGCCGCATGGCACAAGGAGTTTTCGCTTGCTGCTACGCAAAACCCATCAGATCCCGCAGCCCGATCTTAGAAGTGTTAGGTTTGTAGACCTAAACCACTGCCCAGACCCTGCAAAACCTCAACCCTTCAGGCAAAAAAGGCCCTAAATCAGCCTCCGAATCGGGACGGTCGCAGGTGCAGCTCCCCGGGCAAGTCAGCAGAGGAGAGGCTTCGCAGCAAACGGTTGCGGTTTGAAAGGTTCGGGGGCCTAGGATTTAGGGATACGTCGGGTTTTGGGTTGGTTCGGGCTGGGCTTGAGGGTCATTAGGTTTTGCTGTAGGTGTTGGAGTCTTGCAGTCTTCGCAGGCATAGCCCGAGTTTAGGGTTATTAGATTTCTGGTTTGGTTGAGGGCTCAGGGGTAGTAGTAGGTTTTAGAGCAAGGGTTGTTACGGCTTGGCCGTTGTTGGCGTGACCTTTTGCTGTGGTTGGATTAGGGTTTAGCATAGTGGCATAGTGAGGCTTTGCAGTTACTTTAGGATTATTGTGGGCCATTAGGGAATGGGGTGGGTTCGGGATGTAGGTAGCTGGCGTTGGGTATGAAGGGGCTTGCGAGGTGTTAGTTTCAGTCCTGCTATCTAGCATCAATCAGTTGTATGCAGATGCAAAGTGCTTTGCTAAGGGCTTGGAGTGGCAGGGCTCCAGTTACTCCACCAGTCCATCTATCGTACTCCTAGAGTTCTCGTGCGACCAAGGATGACCCAAGCATGGTATGATGAAATCAACCAGCCTGGCTATGACTGGAAGAAGGCCACGTTTTCTCCTGGTACTGGACACTTCACACAAGTCGTTTGGAGAGGACCGCCCGCTGGGATCCCAAACGTTGCAGCCTGTCATCCTTGTCGAGTTGACGCCTAATGTGTCGCAGACCCCTCCGGAAGCATTGGAAGCGATTCTTATTGTTTCTGTGTTTCCACTCACATGCGCTGTTTTGCCTGAGGCGACTGCCCCCCACCCAGTCCTGCTAGCGGTTGTGCTTGTTAACTTCGAGTTGGCAGTGCTGCGAGGAACCAAGCACGTGGGCATGGCCGTGTCGGAAGACGGCCGCTTCTGCGTTGCGAACTATTTTCCGGCGGGAAACATGATGGGGTCCTTCAAGGAGAACGTTCTTCCGCGGGGCACTCCGTACGAACCCAAGAAGGACCCTTTCCGGCATGATCCTCTCCTCATTGCCATTTATGATCAGCTCGTTTCCCAATGTGAGAATACAAAACATGCCCAGTATGCGAGCCACTACAACTACTGCTATCCGTGCCAAGAGCGGCAACAGGCTGCCCCGAGTTGCAGCTCGAGTTGTTGCTTCGTCTAACTAGTAGGATGCACATGCCGTCGCCGTCGCATCATGGGAGCCGTGGCAGCCACTACCCGAATCCGAAACATTCACTTCACTAGAGCCTTGGGCACTACGAAAAACTAGTTTGGCGGCATTGAAACCGCCGTGAGCAGGGATATCCTCTACATTCCTCTACCATTTCGTTACGGTCCCTTGCTGCGCTTTCAATACGTACTGTCCAGGGTTACGATGTCGCACACGATTTCACAACGATTGACAAATTAGAGTCTTGCACTGGGACTTCATTCTATGTTTCGGGTTCATTTTGGTGATTCGACGGACTGCTGGGATGAGACGTTGAGCTCTCCGATCTCGGCTTCAGTTGTGGCTTCTCAAGTCGCATCGAAAAACTCCCGTACTTGAACCGAGGTTGACTCGGGCTTGCCCTGCGGACTCGCTTTCGATATTTGTATATATATATATGTACCGAAATATTTCCCCTGTGCACGACTGTGATACAGCAGTCGTAGTAGTAGTAGCAGTAGCAGCAGTAATAGTACTAGTACTAGTACTAGTACTAGTACTAGTACTAGTACTAGTACTAGTACTAGTACTAGTAGTAGTAGTAGTAGTAGTAGTAGTAGTAGCAGTAGTACTTGCGAACGGACTGCGATGCCTTGTCATGTTCTAAGGTGTCACTATAAGAGCTGTGAGCAAGACCGTGTAAAGTGCAAGAGAAGGGGGCACGCTACGCGTCCCTCGACTCTAGGGGGCATGCTACGCATCCCTCGTCTTTACCTTTCTATGTGACCGCCAACGCACCGTTTGGCTCAAGTCAATGCCCATAGCTAAGTGCTATATGTGTCTTCTATCCTGAGCAATCAGAGCTATCCCGTTGCACAGACGAACCGCCGCCGGCAGTGAGTGCAAAAGGAACGGCCGCCGGTTCTGCCTGCATAGG